GGGACAGCAGGGCAGACCCTACAATGAGAGGCTACGGGACCTGAACCTGTTCAGCCTTCACAAGAGAGGGCTGAGGGGGGACCTTGTGACCATCTATAAACTCACTGGGGGGGACCAGAAGGGTTTGGGGGAGACCTTGTAGCACCCCCTGGAATAACAAGGAATAATGGCCACAAGTTGTTGGAGAGTAGGTTTAGATTAGACATCCGCAAGAGCTACTTCACAGTTAGGGCGGCTAGGATCTGGAACCAACTTCCAAGGGAAGTGGTGCTGGCTCCTACCCTGGGGGTCTTTACGAAGCAGCTCGATGCCTACCTGGCTGGGGTCATTTGAGCCCAGTTTTCTTCCTGCCCAGGCAGGGGGTCGGACCTGAAGATCTGCAAGGTCCCTTCCGACCCTACTTCTATGATATGATTCTATGATAAGTTGGTCTAATAAAAGATATCAGATTCGCCCAAAGAACCTTGTCTACGCATGTTCTTAAACCAACATGGCTACAACCTACACCCCTGGTGAAAATAATAGTATGGCATGAGAGCTGTCTGAATGGCAATCAAGACAAGAGTGAAGTGAGTTTGGGGAGCAGAGGGTAGGCTTCAAGACTGCAATCTGGGGCCATTTTGAACTCTGAGCTGCTCCCAGATTCTTAAAAAGAATCTGATGCTTATCTGTGCATGGTAAAGAGGTTGCTACTTTTTCCCTCTTTGAAGCAGACTTTGCCACAGCTGATCACATGTTCTGTTACTACTGCAGCCATTCTACAAACTTTCACATCTTCGCTTTCATCCAATAAATTAATTCTCATATAATCTGTTATTACAAAAGCCTTCTCATTATATGAATTGAATGTATTGAAAAATAAGATCACTATAAATATGCAATTCAAATATCAACTGGATGAAGATCCTAAGAGACTACTCACATATTTTATGATCAATTTCAGGGGTTTGGGTTGTAGCCGTGTTGGTCTAAGGACAGACAAGGCAGACAAGGTTCCTTGGGTGAATTTGATATCTTCAAATACTCACACCAACTGCTGAAGCTTCCTTAGCCTGACGAAGGGTTTTTGAACCCAAAAGCTTGCTTAATAAACTATCCTCCAACCATTTGGGTTGGTCTAATAAAAGATATCAAATTCACCCAAGGAACCTTGTCTGCCTATGATCAATTTCATACATTTAACAAGTGTACTGGTTAAGACTCAAAATCTACTTGCCTCCATAGACATCATCCATACAGATAATAGCATCTCCTGCCTTTAATAGATGGGCAATAGTCACAGTTGCTGCTTAACTAGAAGCAAAAGCTA